CATGTGTACAGGACCTACAGTACATGTGTACAGGACTTACAGTACATGTGTACAGGATTTACAGTACATGTGTACAGGACTTACAGTACATGTGTACAGGACCTACAGTACATGTGTACAGGACTTACAGTACATGTGTACAGGATTTACAGTACATGTGTACAGGACCTACAGTACATGTGTACAGGACTTACAGTACATGTGACTTACAGTACATGTGTACAGGACTTACAGTACTACAGGATTTACAGTACATGTGTACAGGACTAAAGTGTACAAGACATGTTTTCACACAGTCACACCTAGAAATATCATCTGTTTATAATACTACTCCTTTCTCTCCTTTGGCAATTTTATTAGAATATTTTTTTGGAAAGGTTCCACAGTTAGCAATCAATGTGTAATTTCAGCTTGTAAATATTTATAACAAAATGTGAAATGTCAAATACAATTTTTTTTACAGGATTTACGATACTCTATTAAAAAAAAAGCCCAGCATGACCTCTGTGCTTTTTTTTTTTTTTTTGCTTATATACATGAAATAGCACATTGTGTTTGCCACTGCAGAATTTTTATATGTTCAGCTGGTCTAGTGATCCATGAAACCCTGCTAGATGGCACAGCCAGGTCCTCAAACTCCACTGCAGCACTCCACTCCACTGTGTACAATAATATACCCCCAGCTTGCTGATTGGACGCAGCTCTTTGCTTGAATGAGCAAATCCTGGTGTACTGAACCTTTTATTGGACTTGAATAAACTTACCATAGATTTTGCATGCATACATGATTTCACTGCTCTTCCTGATCCAAATGTTCTTCAGTGAAAATATCTTCAGAGAGCTGCACAATTTCCTATTAACTTGAATGCTTAACCCTAGGTTCACATCTGTGCGGGTGGTGCTGCTGCGGATCCACACGAAAATCCGTGAAGCACCACCACCCGCACAGAGAACTGCGGACCCATGGGCTGGTGCCATTAGTTCTAATGGCACGCCGCCTGCACTGGAAAATGCAACCGTACTGGGAACCGAGGTTCCCATGTGGGCTGTGTTTTCCAAAGAAGTGCAGCAACTTCTTTGCCTGCATGTCATGGGCATGGGAATCCATTCAAATGAATGGGTTCTCGTGCCGTGCAAAACGTGGCCCGCACAGCCACATAGATGTGAACCGGGGGTAAAGTAGAAGTAAACCCTTACCCTAGGTTCACAAATAAGAGTTTTCTGCAGTGTTTTGCAGAAACGCAGTACAGTCCATTTAACATGATTTCCCATGGGACAGGTTTACATCTCCGCGTTCTCACCCTGTGCATTTTTTGAAAGGGTCAGGGACTTTTTTTGAATGCAAAACATTGCGTTTTTGGTTCTATAGATTTCAATGGGAAACACTGCAAAAAAACAAGTATTGAGTTTTTGCTGCATTTTTTTATACGTTTTTGCCGCATTTTTGATGTGTTTAAAATCTGCCTAGCAACAAGAGAAAAAAACATGCAAAACACATAAAAAACGCATCAAAAATGCAAGTGCAAAAAACACAAGACGCAATGCAAAATGCAATGCAGAAACGCATCAAACACAACCTGCATAGGTGTGAACCTACACTGAGTGACATTTAGATCACCAAGCACTAAACAATTGCCTTTTTTTTTGTTTAAAAAAAAAAAATGCTGTTTTTATCGTTTTCATCCTTTGTTGAACCTTAGTGCCACTGATCTCCTGAATTCTCTTTGCAGCCATGTTCTGTCTACATGCTTTAAAATTATGGCTGTATGACATTTCTCAGGGCAAGTTTCCTGATGTTGAAAACATAATAACCCATGCCTGTGCAATGTGCATCAGTACTGCTACTTGCAGTCTTCGTTGGAAAAGCATGCGACAAGAAGACAGTGCAGGAGAACAATTTGGAGACAGGGACAAAGTGCTGCATTACCAGGAACTGCCCGAACAAGGATGAATTTGGCACTAGGGTGGGCTTAGTTATTTAGAGGTTAAAGTTAGTGTTAGGAATTCGGTTAAGGTTATGCTAGCCATACACAAAGTGATACGTGAATCATAGATTTTTACCTTTACAGATCAGGTCCAATTGATTTTGTCCAGTTTAAATAATATTTTCACCATCCAATCACTCTTTTTTTAAATTAAAATAATTATTTTGTACTCAAACTGTCCATTGAGTACAATAAATGTCTGAAAGATGTGATTCTTTCGTTAAAGTGATTCTTAAGGCAATTAAAAAAAAAATAACAAACATGTCATACTTACCTGCTCTGTGTAATGGTTTTGCACAGAGCAGCCCTGGTCCACCTCTTCTGAACTCCCCTGCAGACATTCCTGGCTCCACCCCCCTGCTGAGTGACCCCATGGCTCAGCCCCACCCCTGCTCTCTCTGGCTGTGATTGACAGCAGCCGGAGCCATTGAGCCATTTAGGGGGCCTGGGGAGGGGGAGCAGCATGCAGAACGTGTTTTTTACCTTAAAGCATAGAAAAAAGCATAGAATGCATTAGGTAAAAAGCCTTGTACCTTTAGAAACACTTTAAATAGGTTGTTGTAGTGTCATAGTTTCATTTTTAGGAAATGGGACTGGACTGATCTTCCACCCAACATTGCCTGCATTGATGCAGTGTTGCAGATGCACACTTGCCTGAATCTCACAGTTACAGCCTCTTAAAATGTTAACATTCTGCAAGCAAAGTATTCCTTGGCGTTTGCTCATATCTCAGGAAATATCTTCAAAAGCAGACTAACTGTGCTAGCATGGCCATTGATGAGCAGGACATTGAGGGGTATCAACACTGCAGTAGGCTATAGAATAAAGCAAGGTTAGAGGACAGGTAGGTGTTTGTGTATCACTTTATGTTCAGTTCTTTTCAACACCAAAATCCCGCCATGACTGCCATAACCTTAAGAACTCATTTTTCTGCAGTGGATAAACACAGGTCACTGCAGGGGCACATTAAAAAGCAGGTGGTAGAGTTGTGGTCTTACAGACCCCCCCCCCCCCCCCCCAATCATGCCACTCAGCTAAAAAAAATTAAACAGCATGTTGCATTTGGCAGGTACTGGCACATAATTCAACCTATTCAAGTGAATGGGGCTGTGTCGCAACCTCCCAGGAACCATGTCATTGCGGTCCCCGCCATTCAAACAGCTTGAGTCCGCAAGCTCAGAAGGAAGACCAGGTGAAGTTAAAAGAGCCTGGGGATCCATGACAGTGCTGTGCTGGAGGGCTCCGAGTGCAGGTAAGTGCATCATAATATGCTAGCATGCAGTGGATACTAGCACATTACGGCTTAGACCTGTGGGGGACTCTTGTGAGTTTTTTTTTTTTTTTTTAATTGGATGGTTTACTACTGTTTTAAAGGGACCCAGTTGCTAGACCATTAATTTGAACAAAATTGCCCTATTCAGATGAAATGGGTTCATCCATTAAGATATGTTATCTGCTGTAAAAGCTTCCCTTGAATAGATATCCAAAAGCCCTGAGATTGCTGCTACCCCCCCCCCCCTTTTTTTGATGTGAAGTCAGAAGACCCAGCAGACTTGAGCTGTCACTCAAGTGACACTGTATGGTATTACCCTTTGCATCTCCCCTGGCTGATGATACATAAAAGGTTATGTGGTTAGGCAAGTGGGGTAGAGGAGCTGGTCCAGCACAGAAAGTAATTTCAAATCCTAGAAGAAGAGAGGCTATGACGTGCCAGGAGGAAGGGGGCTGTGCTAGGGTTTTACCTAGTTACATTTTCTAGCAAGTTTGAAAGGCAAGTGAATGAAAAATAATTTCTGAAAAGGAAAAATGCTGCAAGTAAGCATACTTACTTAATACTTGATTTTTCAAATGTTTAAGTTGGTTACAGGGTCTCTTTAACCACTTCCCGGTCCGGAGCAGTACAGGGGCGGGTGGCCGTTTATAAAAGTCCTCCCCGATTCCCTGCTTGTGCGTGCTGCCTGGGAGCGCACAGCACCCCGATCCGATCCGATCGTTGTACAGGATCTCTGTGTGAGGTCCCGATCATGTGATCACTTCTGACATCATTGCTTACTATGTGTGAAATCTGTGAATGATCACAGAGATCACATGGTGCAAGGCTATTTACAACAGCCTTGTACCATGTAACAAGCTGTGACCTATCACAGCTCTCACGGTATTTCTACTGCACATGGTTAAAAAAAAACAAAAAAAAAAAAGAATGCAGCCAGAGAGAAGGAGAAATGATTGCTTTAACTGAACAGCCTTTATGAAGGATTATTTATTTGTAACAGCAATCAGTGTAAAAAAAAAAATCTTCATCACCCCCCACAAGTAGTACAGTGTCACTATGGTGACACTGTACTGCTAGGGTGAGAGTATGTTAAAAAAAAAAAAAAAGCCATAAATAATATAAAAAAAAAATAAAAATGTAAAAAAATTTTTTGAAAAATTATACTTTTTGGTTATAAACTAATTTGGGTTATTTTTTTTTTTACTAAAACGATAACTGAATAAATTTTGGCCAAGATTTATGAAGAAAGATTATTTATTTGCAAAACTTTATAATAAAAAAAACACTTTTTTTTAAAAATTTTTTTAGGACTTTTTCATTTATATAGCAAAGAAAAAATAAAAATCCCAGTGGTGAATAAATACTACCAAAATAAAGTTTTATCTGTCTCAAAAAAAATGCTAAAAAGTTCATATGGGTACAGTGTTGCATGACCGCGCAATTGGCATTCAAAGTGTGATAGTACTGAAAACTGAAAATTGGCCTGGACAGGAAGGGGGTAGAAGTGTCCTGGACAGGAAGAGGGTAAACCGTTTCTCTAAATACTTTCTAACCACAAGATATAGGGTGACTCTTTTACTTACTCTTTCCACTAAAGCAATAGCAACAGTAGTCAAAACAACTACATTGGCCCTGCAACTCCTTTCTATCAATTTCTCTGCATTTTCAAAAGGTAATCTATTTCTAATGTGAAACTAAATGACACAAGAGAAAATCTGCTAAAATCTGTCCTTGTGACTTACAGCTTTAAGAAGCAACAAGTTGTCCCTTAAGGATCCGACCATTCCGATAAATGAGACCACGAACATCAGGATGCCCAGAAGTAGGAGGATGATGGCCGGTGCCAGGAAGATCCCTTCCAAAGTCTGGTGTTTCCTTCTCTCGCTCTCTGCATAGATTCCAATGCACAAGATCAGGAGGCCTATCAGCTGCAAAAAAAAAAAAAAAAACAACATTAAATAATATACTGTCACGGCACAATTCCCAAATTTAGAAGTATATCTTTTAAAGAAATTCTTGCTTGTTAATCTGATGATACATTTTCTCACACAGAGCAGGCTTCCAAAAGCAAGCTGTTGAACATAAATTTAACATATTATCTGGCTGTGTTTACAGGCTTGGACAGCTAATCTAGGCTAGTGTTTTAGTTTTTCATTTGTAATGTCTACTCATCTTTTGTAAAATGTACAGTGCAACTGCTATTGTCATTTTAGAAGCAAGAATAATATTAATACATTATTATCACTATTATTAGCATTCACAAGAATCAACAAAATTATTTTTACATCAATAACAGCAATGATCAACAGGTGGCAGTACAGAGTTGTTGTCTGAGTACATTGGCTGAATGGAAATCTGAATTATATTGCATACATACTGTACTTTGCTAGTTAGTGTTCTTGCATGGCGACCACTTACTGTTATCTCACATATATATTCTTATTATTATAGCCAAATTTACCACCCTAACTCCTCCCACAGTTTTTACACTACATAGACAGTAATATAACGAAACGTGCGGATTGTTCCCGATTGGTGTGCTATTACTTTGTGGAACGTTTTGTCGACTGGTTCACAAAATATCAGCGTTTTTGTGGTGAAATTGGTCCCATAGGAATGAATGGTGGGGAATGTTCAAAACTAGAGTGGGAGCTGACAAAAGCTAGAGTGTGAGCTGAAAAATCAGAACATGATTTCTAAACTGCCATCACTCCCTCATTTTCAAGCCCACCTACACAAATCTTATATCAAAACGTTCAGCTTTCCCTGCTGCCACTAAAAATGTTCACAGCTAAGCCATAGTCCTGATAGTTTTTACAATATGACCATTTGTTTGCAACTCACGCCGACTATTGACATTCATTGAAACTCCACTCTAGCCACCTCAAATTTGAAGGGCAATTTCTTAAAACTGTGACTGTGCCTTCATTTTTAATATTTCAGAGACATACTATGCATCAAAATGTAGGTCTGGGTCTTGTGATTCCCACAATATAAAGCTCTTCGGTGTAGGATTTTATAATTTATAAACTACAACCGTTTGAAGATGGCAACAGACAGTGAAGTGAGCAAGTGAGAGCAGTTTGTTTTTAACCGCTCTTCCCTTGCTGTAGAGTGAGTTGCCATAGGAACCCAGGTGTGTGAGCAGGCAGCAGAGTGACAAAAGCTAAATGTGCTATATAAATAATTAAAAATTGAAATGCATTTCTCACTCTATCAAGCTTGCCATGTGCACTTTTTAAATTTGATCAATCAATTGGTTAGTGTAATGTTTACTATCATTACTCACTCCAAACACTCCACACAGTTACTCTGCCCACTCCATAAAGTTACTCTGCCCAGTCCAACCTTTTCCCAGTTACTCCAGCCACTCCACCCACACAATAGTTACTCCAGCCACTCCAACCACACAACAGTTACTCAAGCCACTCCACCCACACAATAGTTACTCCAGCCACTCCAACCACACAATAGTTACTCAAGCCACTCCAACCACACAATAGTTACTCCAGCCACTCCAACCACACAACAGTTACTCAAGCCACTCCACCCACACAATAGTTACTCCAGCCACTCCAACCACACAATAGTTACTCAAGCCACTCCAACCACACAATAGTTACTCCAGCCACTCCAACCACACAATAGTTACTCCAGCCACTCCAACCACACAATAGTTACTCCAGCCACTCCAAACCACACAATAGTTACTCCAGCCACTCCAACCACACAATAGTTACTCAAGCCACTCCAACCACACAATAGTTACTCCAGCCACTCCAACCACACAATAGTTACTCCAGCCACTCCAACCACACAATAGTTACTCCAGCCACTCCAACCACACAATAGTTACTCAAGCCACTCCAACCACACAATAGTTACTCCAGCCACTCCAACCACACAACAGTTACTCAAGCCACTCCACCCAGTTACTCCGCCCACTCCAGTTGTAGACTACTGGTGGAGGCAAGAACACTTCACACAATTTCCCCAGAAATTGTAGCTTTTCTAGTTTAGTACTTGAAATTGCAGACCTACAGTACATGCACTTAGCTGTTGCTCCTTCCATTCTCAAGAGCTGCAGTTTCTTCCACAGATATCATGATCATTCAAGACGACAAAGTATTTTCAAATTTTGTCTGGTTTAACTATTCAAATAAATGAATCTGATCAAATACATTTTTGATTGCTAACAAAATAATGTAGCACATACGCTATATAGAGAAAAACATGCTCCACTGCATTGAGCATAGACTTGTAACATACTAAATGTGTATCTTTAATAACTTGCACTTGATGAACAAACAGTAGGAGATCTGTATTGTAGCAGAATGTAATTACAAATAATCTAGTGGCTAAATAATTACCGTACGTTTCGCTCCATAAGATGCACCTGACCGTAAGACGTATCTAGTTTTTAGAGGAGGAAAACAAGAAAAAAAGTATTCTGAACCAATGGACTGCAGACATAGTATAGGAGATGCCCAGAGACTGCAGACATAGTACAGGAGATGCCCAGAGACTGCAGACATAGTACAGGAGATGCCCAGAGACTGCAGACTTAGTACAGGAGATGACCAGAGACTGCAGATATAATACAGGACATGACCAGAGACTGCAGATGTACTACAGGAGATGACCAGAGACTGCAGACATAGTACAGGAGATGACCAGAGACTGCGGACACACTACAAGAGATGACCAGAGACTGCAGACAGAGTACAGGAGATGACCAGAGACTGCAGATGTACTACAGGAGATGACCAGAGACTGCGGACTTATTACAGGAGATGACCAGAGACTGCAGACATATTACAGGAGATGACCAGAGACTGCGGACATATTACAGGAGATGACCAGAGACTGCAGACATACTATACAGGAGATGACCAGAGACTGCAGATATATTACAGGAGATGACCAGAGACTGCAGACACAGTACAGGAGATGACCACAGACTGCGGATATATTACAGGAGATGACCAGAGACTGCAGACATACTAAAAGAGATGACCAGAGACTGCAGACATACTACAGGAGATAACCAGAGACTGCAGATATACTACAGGAGATAACCAGAGACTGCAGACATAGTACAGGAGATGACCAGAGACTGCATATGTACTACAGGAGATGACCAGAGACTGCGGACATGGTACAGGAGATGACCAGAGACTGCGGACATACTACAGGGGATGACCAGAGACTGCGGATATAGTACAGGAGATGACCAGAGACTGCCGACATAGTACAGGAGATGACCAGAGACTGCAGACATAGTACAGGAGATGCCCAGAGACTGCCGACATAGTACAGGAGATGACCAGAGACTGCAGACATAGTACAGGAGATGACCAGAGACTGCGGACATAGTACAGGAGATGACCAGAGACTGCGGACATAATACAGGAGATGACCAGAGACTGCGGACACAGTACAGGAGACGACCAGAGACTGCGGACACAGTACAGGAGATGACCAGATACTGCGGACATAGTACAGGAGATGACCAGAGACTGCGGACACAGTACAGGAGATGACCAGAGACTGCGGACACAGTACAGGAGATGACCAGAGACTGCGGACACAGTACAGGAGATGACCAGAGACTGCGGACACAGTACAGGAGATGACCACAGACTGCGGATATATTACAGGAGATGACCAGAGACTGCAGACATACTAAAGAGATGACCAGAGACTGCAGACATACTACAGGAGATAACCAGAGACTGCAGACATACTACAGGAGATAACCAGAGACTGCAGACATACTACAGGAGATAACCAGAGACTGCAGACATAGTACAGGAGATGACCAGAGACTGCATATGTACTACAGGAGATGACCAGAGACTGCGGACATGGTACAGGAGATGACCAGAGACTGCGGACATACTACAGGGGATGACCAGAGACTGCGGATATAGTACAGGAGATGACCAGAGACTGCCGACATAGTACAGGAGATGACCAGAGACTGCAGACATAGTACAGGAGATGCCCAGAGACTGCCGACATAGTACGGGAGATGACCAGAGACTGCAGACATAGTACAGGAGATGACCAGAGACTGCGGACATAGTACAGGAGATGACCAGAGACTGCGAACATAGTACAGGAGATGACCAGAGACTGCGGACATAATACAGGAGATGACCAGAGACTGCGGACACAGTACAGGAGATGACCAGAGACTGCGGACACAGTACAGGAGATGACCAGATACTGCGGACATAGTACAGGAGATGACCAGAGACTGCGGACACAGTACAGGAGATGACCAGAGACTGCGGACACAGTACAGGAGATGACCAGAGACTGCGGACACAGTACAGGAGATGACCAGAGACTGCGGACACAGTACAGGAGATGACCAGAGACTGCGGACACAGTACAGGAGATGACCAGAGACTGCGGACACAGTACAGGAGATGACCAGAGACTGCGGACACAGTACAGGAGATGACCAGAGACTGCGGACACAGTACAGGAGATGACCAGAGACTGCGGACACAGTACAGGAGATGACCAGAGACTGCCGACATAGTACAGGAGATGACCAGAGACTGCCGACATAGTACAGGAGATGACCAGAGACTGCAGACATAGTACAGGAGATGACCAGAGACTGCGGACATAGTACAGGAGATGACCAGAGACTGCGAACATAGTACAGGAGATGACCAGAGACTGCGGACATAATACAGGAGATGACCAGAGACTGCGGACACAGTACAGGAGATGACCAGAGACTGCGGACACAGTACAGGAGATGACCAGATACTGCGGACATAGTACAGGAGATGACCAGAGACTGCGGACACAGTACAGGAGATGACCAGAGACTGCGGACACAGTACAGGAGATGACCAGAGACTGCGGACACAGTACAGGAGATGACCAGAGACTGCGGACACAGTAC